CCCCCCCCCCCCCCCCCGTGAGTAGTACAGTCCCGGAAGTACGCATGTCAGGTTGGGAAGCTGTAAGGAAAACGGGCAGGGAGAGCAAGGAAGCCAGCAGCAGAGCTGGTTCGGGGGTTAACAAGGAGCCCTGCAGGCCGCAGAGGGGGACGGAGGACACAGGAAGCTTCCGGAACAGCACCGGGCTTCCTGGAAGCAGGAGGCGGCGCTGCTGGGGAGCAGTGGGCCCTGGTGGTCTCACAGGGGGTCCCGCTGCTCTTCTCTTCTGGAATCCCAGCCCTCCTCGGTAGACGAAGCACCTGCAGCTAAGACGCCTCCCGCAGCGGGCCAGCGTGTGCCGACCCTCCGCCCTGGCTCACTGGGCTCTGCAGTTGCCAAGACCCAACCGCCTGCCAATCACGCCTGCTCCCTCCACAGGCGACAGAGGCTCCCCGCGACTTCTGGGGGGCTGCGAGCAGACGGCAGCCCCCCAGCGCGGGCAGTACGCGAGGCAGGGCTTCAGTGGTGCAGTCTGCCCTGCATGGCCGCCCCCGGAGGTCCCAGGCAGCCGCCCGCCCACCACTGCCCGACTTCACACAAAACGTCCCGTCCCATGCAATGTGGGCGGAGCTTGGAATGGGCTTGTTCCTGCACATGGACTGCCCTTCAAAAAAGGCACTGGAGAAAGCCTGCTTCCAACTTCCCGTGTGCGCAGAGGAGCGTCACGTCTGAAGACAGAGAGAGGGAGAGAGCCATCCGTAAACGGTCGCACGGCTGACTCCTGGCTCGAGTGCCAGGCGTGGGCAGCCACGGCCGGGCTGGCAGCCTCGGGTGGCAGGGACATGGGCCTCGGGGGTCTGCAGGGTGCACCCTTCCTACAGGCGCACCACACGTCCCCTCCTCTTACGTCCATTCGCTGGGCAAGGCAGAGCGGCTGGGCAGCGCAAATGCAGCCGGCCGGCCATGGACCCGACTGAGAATTCTGTCACCAGCAAAGGAAGCAGGAATTGAAGAACGGTGCACAGCTCCTGTCCCTGTGTTTGCAGGGCGTCTGACGTTGGGTCCTCGGGGCCGAGGTCGGGCTTCCCCAGCCTCCAGAACCGTAAGCCAGCGGTGGGGGAGGATGTGTTCTTCCTATTGCTCCCCTGGAATGGCCCCTGTCCCTCTAGGTGGCATTTGCTAAATGCCACTCTGCTTCACAGCCTAACCAGCCTTGCACCTGCCTGTCTTTCCCATCAGAGGCCAGCAGGGGCGTGGCTCTCCAGTCTCCATCACTGAGCGTCCGTATGATGGAGGAGAATGGTCTGGCAAAGGCTGACACTGGGCCAACTCCTGCCACCCCCTTCACTCCCCAGGCTGCCCACGACCAGCAGGTGGAGAGGCTGGGTGCTACCCACAGTGGCATCAGCACACCTGGAGACCTGCGGAAGGCGCCCTCCCGGCTCTCACCCCTGCCCTGGTGGTCACGGGCCCCTGGCTTGGGGTTCCATTCTTGCAAACCCATAATGCAGAATGCTTACTTTTGGGTTTAGGGAACAGTCAGGAGCCAGCCAATCTGTTTTGTTTTCTTGTGCAGCTTAACTTAGCTCCGAGGGCAACTCAGCAAAGAGCAGGCCAACAACAGGTGCATTTTGAGAGCTGCTAGCATCGTTTGAAAACCTGCCCACTTTGCTGCAGGCCGCAACCCACCACGGGCCGTGTTCCAAGCGCGGGCCCTGAGTCAGTTATTTGGAACTGGGTACTCTTCTGATGTGCGGATTGAAAACAACACAGAGCGTCCCTTCAGGGTCCTGTTACACAGGCGCGCGGCATCACCTGGACTTTTTGTTTAAACTGATACAGCCGCTTCTAATTCTCCAACGAGCTCGCCAATACTTCACACACAGGGGCCTGCGAATCCACTCAGGATAAAGCTAAATGCTGCCTCTCTCTGAAGAGCCGCCACCGTCCCGAGCCGAGCTGGCGGCTTTCACCCAGAGCTTGTGGCATGGTCTCGTCCGTACCTCCCCCGACTGCGTGCTGGCCTTTGTTTACCCTGTGCCTGGCAGGCAGGACAGGAATCCGCTCACCCTGGAGCACGCTTGCCTCTTCGTTTTTAATGGCAGTTTCACTCTAACTCTGCACATGGCGCACCCCGGCATACAAGGGTTGTGACGTGCCAGGGGTTAAGGAGAGGTCTGTTTGTTTATCTGAGAGGCAGAGACAGAGACACAGAGCTCCAGTCTGCTGGCTCACTCCTCCAGTGCCCACCGATGGCCAGGGCCTGGCAGGCCCAAAGCTGGGCGTGCATCCAGATCTCCCATGTGAGTGGCAGGGCCATCACTGCTCCCTCCTCGGGTCTGCATTAGCAGGAAGCCAGAATCGGGGGCTGGGGCTGGGGCTGGAACACAGGTACTCTGATACGGGACACAGGTGTCTTAACCACCAGGGCCCACACCCGTATAGGGAGGAGTTGGAAGCAAGGAGGACCTGCAGAGGCTGGTCCCCGACACACCCGTGTTTCCACAGGAGCTGGATTCAGTCTCTGAGCACTGGTTTGCTACTTTGTCTGCAACAATGCCTGGGTCTTCTAGCACGCCCAGCTTCACACTCAGGGGTAAAGCACTTGCAAGCCCCAGAGACGCGCTGAGATGGTGTGCTGTGTTGGGTTCTCCGTGGCGTGGCCAAGAGACAGGACGGAGTGCCATCCCTGCTAGTGGGCATCGGACAAGAACAACACCCATGGGTGGGGCCAATGTTGTGGCGTAGCAGGTAAAGCCTCCGCCTGCAGTGCCGGCATCCCACATGGGCACTGGTTCAAGTCCCGGCTGCTGCACTTCCGATCCAACTCTCTGCTATGGCCTGGGAAAGCAGTAGAAGATGACCCAAGTCCTTGGGCCCCTGCACCCACGTGGGAGACCCGGAAGAAGCTCCTGGCTTCGGATCAGCAAGCTCCGGCTATTGCGGCCATTTGGGGAGTGAACCAGCAGATAGAAGACCTCTCTCTCTCTGCCTCTGCTTCTCTGTAACTCTTCCTTTCAAATAAATAAAAGAGAACCTTAGGCCGGCGCTGCGGCTCAATAGGCTAATCCTCCGCCTAGCGGCGCCGGCACACTGGGTTCTAGTCCCGGTCGGGGCGCCGGATTCTGTCCCGGTTGCCCCTCTTCCAGGCCAGCCCTCTGCTGTGGCCAGGGAGTGCAGTGGAGGAAGGCCCAGGTGCTTGGGCCCTGCACCCCATGGGAGACCAGGAAAAGCACCTGGCTCCTGGCTCCTGCCATCGGATCAGCGCGGTGCGCCGGCCGCAGCGCGCCGGCCGCGGCGGCCATTGGAGGGTGAACCAACGGCAAAGGAAGACCTTTCTCTCTCTCTCTCTCTCTCACTGTCCACTCTGCCTGTCAAAAAAAAAAAAAAATAAAAAAAAAAATAAAAAAGAGAACCTTAGAACAACTTTAGAAAAAAAAAAAAAAAGACCCACGGTTCCTTACCACTGTGGTCCAGGGCACCTGGGGGATCCTGGTGTAGGTCATTGTTATGTAGAGGATGAGAAAGAAGACGGTGAGGACCCAGTAAAACACAGCTACAAACATGACCCAGCCGAACGCAGGGACCCGGAAGTACTCCGTGCCAGCAATCAGCGTCCACACCAGCAGGCCCAGGACCTGTGAGATGGGGGAGGCAGGGGAAAGAAGAGACAAAGGAGTCATAGGGCGTCCACTGCAACCTGCCTGCACGCACACACACACACACACACACACTCATGACTGAAAAACATAATGCCACAGAGCCAAGTTAAGCGAACACAGCCGGCATGGCAGGTGCCACGGCCAAGGGAAAACCTGGGAGGGGTACTCTCTGGTCAGCTCCTGCTGACTGCGGCAGGCTGGTTGCACCAGATCTCCCCCCTGCACCCCCCACCCCTCCCAGGAGAACACACGAACTCGGGTTGGTACTTGCTCGTCTTGCTTTTCAAATATGAGCACTACTTAAGAGTCTTAAAACGCAGGCCGGGCAAAGCAACACCTGTGGCTGGCGTTTGCTCACGGGCTGACACCTGTCCAGGAAACAAGACCGCACGTGCAGGTGGACCCTGGGCTGGCCGGGCTGGGTCAGGCCTTGCAGCCGCCCACCTACACGGCTGTCCTCCTTGCTGACAGCCAACCCCGTGCGGCCTGAGAGAGGCGCCAGGAGGGAGGCCAAGCAAGGGCTCGGCCCAGAGAAAGACGGGGTCTTATCACAAGTGGTGCATTTGCACCCGGCATAGTTGTCCAACCAAGGCCACACCAACATCACCCACCGTCCAGAGGTGCATCTGCAGGGGTCCTGAGTCTGAACACAGGAAAGCCAGAACAAAGTGTGGGCTTGTATCCTAGGAATCAGGAAGAGTTCATCCCCACAGCACGAAAAAGCACCTGAACCGTATTCCTAGGAGACAGCGTCGGGCTCCAGGGTGGGCCCTGGCTGCAAGTCCCTGCCTCGCTGTGTAGCTCAGCCCCCAGTATTGCACTTTGCTTTAGCTTTCTCTGCGGTACAGGGAACAAGACGCTATAGCAGTGCCCATCACGGAGCTCCTAGGACAGAGTCCGCTCCTGGGTTTAACAGCTGGCACCTACAACAGGCCAGGCTTGCCGCTGTTATAACCCGAGGACAAGATGGATGCGAATCGCACAGTTCCCTGACGTCTCTGGCTAATCACAGCTGTGAAAAACTGCTCCGAGGGCGGCAAAGTTCCACCACAGGGGCCAGCACCTGTTGGCAGGCACAGGCAGGTGGACACGGCCACCCTGAAGCACACCCAGAAGCCTGGGAGGGGGCGAGGCAGCTGGGAAACAGCGCTGTGGGTAGTGTGCAGCACGGGCAAAGGTGTGCAGGTGCACGGGGGCCTCCCCGAGTCTCGAAGAACATGTAGTGAGCTAAGACACTGGTGCACGTTTTTTCTGTAAAGATTTATTTATATATTTGAAAAGTAGAGCAACAGGGAGAGGGAGACACACACACACACACACACACAGCGAGTTTTCCATGCACAGGGTCACTCCCCAAATGGCCACAACAGCCGAGACTGGGCCAGGCCGCAGCCAGGAGCCAGGAGCTCCTTCCTGGTCCCCCCTGTGGGTGGCAGGGGCCAGGAACTTGGGCCATCTTCTGCTTTCCCAGGCACATTAGCAGGGAGCTGGATCAGAAGAGGAGCAGCCAGGACAAGAACTGGTGCCCTTATGATGCTGGTGCCACTGAGAGCAGGAACAGACGCTAAACACAGCCACGTCCCCCCCCTTTTTTTTTTTTTGACAGGCAGAGTGGACAGTGAGAGAGACAGAAAGGTCTTCCTTTTTGCCGTTGGTTCACCCTCTAATGGCTGCCACGGCTGGCGTGCTGCGGCCGGCACACCGCGCTGATCCGAAGGCAGGAGCCAGGTGCTTCTCCTGGTCTCCCGTGCGGGTGCAGGGCCCAAGCACTTGGGCCATCCTCCACTGCACTCCCAGGCCACAGCAGAGAGCTGGCCTGGAAGAGGGGCAACCGGGACAGAATCCGGCGCCCCGACCAGGACTAGAACCCGGTGTGCCGGCACCGCAAGGCGGAGGATTAGCCAAGTGAGCTGGCAGCTCTTTCGTCTACTTGAGACCGGGTATGAATCCCAGGGAAGAGGCGCTTAATGGAGATGTGTTTTTGTGCCAACAGCTGTTTGCAGCAGCAAGATGTATCGCAAGTGAAGACGCACCAAATGGGATGTAAGTGCAGAAGGCACAGGGCCTCACGCTGACGGAGCCCTGGGGCCCGACTGCCCCCATCTGCAGCTAATCCATGCACTGGGTTTGATGGAAGGGCTCGCAGGGCCCTCGGTCGAGGCTGCACATGGGAGACACAACAGCGAGCAAAGGGAGCTGTGGTTATGGGGACTCGGCACGGGATCACAGGGTTGAGAATCTTCCAAAAAAGTCTGCACGGAAGGCCAGTTGCACCTGCTAGTTGCTGGGAATGGGCTCATCTCCAGATGTGGTCATCTGGTATACCACGCACCACTGGGACCTGCGCTGCCTCTCAAGGCGCACAAACACTTGACTCAGGCCTTGCCAGCAACTCACTAAAAGAAACGGCCCTGTCAGAAAAACGAGTGTTGGCCCAAGTTGTTTCCTAGTACCTGCAACCTGCCTGCAGGCGGCCCTCTTCTCTCCCACTGCAACCAGTGCTCACGGAAACCACGCCACACACACGCCACGAACATGTCATTTCACTCCTGCTTCCTGTTTGTGTTTAAAGCAAGCCCTATATCTTTATCTGCTTAGGCTACAAAACTGCTGCTTATTTTTTCCCTAACAGGCATTTAAAACAATTTATTTGAAAGTCAGAATTAGAGAAAGGGCAAAGCCAGGAACTCAACCGAGGCCTCCCATGTGGGCGGCAGGAACCCAGCGATGAGAGCCAGCACCCCTGCCTCCCAGGGTCCACGCTCGCAGGAAGCTGGGGTCAGGAGCTGGGGGCTGAACCCAGGAGCTGACCTGGGGTGCAGGCAGCCCTCACCTGGCCCCTTAACTGCTGGGCAAAACACCAGCCCCTCATCCCAGTCTGCCTCTAACTTTATGAAGTCCTCTGTCATAGGCGAATTTAAGTCCTACGTGATAGTTAGCTGGCCGCTCTTTAACCCTTCTGTTTCCATCTGCTTAGGGAGGGCCCTCTTAACACAAGATTACCTAAAAATATTCTCCGAGTTTTGTATATGCAAGAGTAAAAAGTTCATGGAAAACATGTACTATGAAAAAAACTAAGCATGGACTTCAAAATAAACTCATTTATTTTTTAATTCCACTTTCCCAGGAACTTTTTGGACTACTACCGTATTTTTATGCCTTTAATGCGACTAGAATTGAGTTCTAGATATGGGGCAAAGAAAGGCTAATTGTATTTTTCCAGCAGCCTGAAGTACTGTCACTTATCAGTGACTTCCCACACGTCGGGTCAGCTTCTGGAACCTTCTCTGCGACTCATCTGAGTCCACTGCTGGGCCAAGGCCAATGACCGCAGCTTCTGCACGTATTTCCCGTACTCCAGGCTTCTGGAGAAAATGTCAGACTGGACACAGGGATCAGACTCTGTTCCCTGCTGGAGCCCTGGACAGGGTAAGCAGGAAAGGGATAAAAGGGACACATTTCCGAAAGCTCAGAACACACGAGGACAAGGCATAACTGAACCGCTCTCGAGGCAGCCGAATTCTAAGTTGCCTAGTGAGAAAGTCAAGAACCAAAGCCAACCCCGAGTCTGCAAAGACTCAGGCAGCTCTGGGACAGAGGGCAGGGGGTGGTGGTGGGCGATGGCTTTGCTGGTAAAACAGAGGCCCCTCCCTCCCGCCCTGCTGCAAGCTCCTAGGAGCCCGAGCTCCTAGGTCTCAAAGTTCACTCTAAACCAGAAACCTCAACCTCGGCTTATGCACGCTGGGGGCTGTGCTGGGGGGAGAGCGGCGGCCCTGCCCTGACTGCCGTGTCTCTGTCCTCCACCTAGGAGAAGCCAGCAGCAAAGCCCCAACCCCCCTCCCCCCCTTTACAGCACAGGAAGTCACCAGGCCAGAGGGGGGCGGGGTGACTCAGGAGCGCCACAGTCGACGCCATCAGCATTTTCCCTAACCTGAAGCTCTCCCAGAACTCATCAGGATGAACCAACCCAGCAGCAGGGCAAAGGGGATCCAAAGGCAGCTGTGTTGAGAGGCTCCTGGGGACGTGGGAGACAGATTAGGCGCAAAGGAAACTCGACAAAAGAAAAAATTACAGTGTATGATTAATCTCAGTAAAAACCAAGGAAATAAATCATTGTCCACCGCAAAACTCAGAGTGAGCCAACATTTGCATAAGGATAACACACACCGAATATGGACGCAAACGCATTCCAACAGTGAGAAGGGACGCATGGGAGACAGTGCTATGGACTGGTTGTGCGCTTCTCCCCTTCTCCCCCATACACTGAGGCTCCAACCCTCACCCTGATGGCCTCAGGAGGCCGGGCCATGGGGAGGTGACCGGATGGGATTGCGGCCTGGTAAGGAGGGACCCTGGGCTTGCTCTCCCTCCCCCAGCCCCTGTGCACGGAGCAAAGACCATGTGAAGACACAGCAGGACGGGGGCGTACACCTTCACCTTGCACTTTGTCTCCAGAACTAGAAGAAACCCAGTCCTGAAATGCCAGCCACCAATCTACGACACTGTATTATGGAAGCCGGCCCGAGCTGAGGCGGAAGGCAACAGGAAGTTACTACTAACATGCAGAATTGAAGATGGCGCCTCACATATGTGCAACCATGGATGTGGGTAAAGTGAGCGGTGTGGCAAACGGCTGTCTGGGGAGACCTGGGGACGTGTGGGGGTCAGAGCTGCTTTTGTTCTACGCCTATGGGTATCTGGCCACCCAACTCCTATCACTTGATTCCCTTGAGTTTTCTGGCTAACGTGTCTGCAACGGCAGCAGTTTGGATGGCTTCGGATATCTGTCCCACTTGCTTCTTTTTCTTGCATGATTGCATTGGCTAGAATCTCCAGGACGTCAGAGACCATGACCATCCTTATTTAATGGTTCATTTTGATATCTCACGTTATTACATCATTACTGTTTTTTTTTTTTCTTTTTTTACAGGCAGAGTGGACAGTGAGAGAGAGAGAGACAGAGAGAGAAAGGTCTT